CGAAAAAGCGGGACGAGAAGCTCGGATCAATTAGAAGCGCAGAATCACTCTGACCCTCATCTGTCAGACTCCCTTTCCTGATCCGCTTCCTCAATCAACTCAGTGGCCGGTCCCCACCCCCAACGCTGCCGGAGGGGCGGCCCTGTCCCCCCACAGCCAACACCGCCGGTCCCCCCTCTTCCCAGATCACCCCCGCGGAGCCCGACGCCCCTTGAGGCCGCATCCCGAACGGAAACCCAGCGCCTTACCCGACATCGCGCCCGTCCTGCCCCGGCTCGCTCCCCGCAGCACCGCCAAGCCAGCACAAGCAGCCCGAGCCTCGTGAGCGGACGAGCCCACGAGAGCCCCCCCCGACCCCCCGAGTCCGCCGACGAGCCCCTGGCTCGGAGCGGCAGGGTGCGGAGCGACTGACCGCCCCCGTCTCGCCACTCTCCGGACTAGCGAGCGGACGCCGCGCTCGCCTCCCTTGCGTTTCTCTTTCCGCCGCTGTGGACTGACCCCTCCTGCGCACACCAGCGACACTTTTAAGAATATTTCCGTGAACATCCCCCTCCCCCCCAGCCCCCATCTCGGCTGGGCTAGTTCTCCAATTCCTCCTGCACTGTCCTTCGGATGAGACGTAAGGTCCTGACTCTCTGTGGTCATTAAAAATCCCAGGGTGTAGAGTTGTAACCTGTCCTGGCCAAATCTCCCCCTGGCCTTTACCCATCATGGCCTCCTAATAACCCCCCTCTCTGAACTGGCTCCATCACTCTGCTCTCCTCCCCACTGGGAGCTGGTGTGTGGGGAGCGGACTGGAGCATCATCCAGGTGGGGGTGGAGGGGATCCCCATGACCTGTCCAGCGCTGTGAGTGGAGTGTCCAGAAAAGCGCTGTATAAGGGTGAGCAATTATTATCATTACTATTATTCTTCTTGACAAGGCACCACCTTAAATCCTGTCCACTCATTAGCAAGCTTTACAGAGGGTCAAACAGACCTGCAGCTGAACTAGCGGCCATCGTCATGATTAAATACCCGCAAGGGCAAGAGAGCGAGGGGCTCCAAGTGACCACACCGGCCCCATGAGGGACAGGAGCCACCGGACGGTCACCACACCGGCCCAGCTGGGCGAGCACCACCACGCTCCTGCGCGATCCAGACAGGAAGACACGACCCGCTGTGGCTTCGCAGCGCCCCCGCTGGTCAAACGCCGTTAACGCACACCGCGTGGGTGGGTACGCACCCTCCAGGATGTGCATCCTGACCAGCTCCGAGCGCTCCGGGCGCGAGCGGATCTTCCTCTTCAGGTAGTCCTCGGTCTGGGGACAGACAGGCAGGCAGAGACGTTAGCGCAGGGGCTCCGGGCACAAGGACAGAAACACAGAGCCGCGCCGAGAGAGAGCCTCACCCGCGCTCGCTCCAGACTTCTCCTCTGTTCGTGGAAAGCAGCTGGACTTTTCAGTGCTGGAAGAGAGAAAGGACAGAGAGAGTCAATAGAGAGGGGTCAATACAGACACACACACTGACTGGACACTCCAGTACATGAACACTGCACTGAGAGAGAGAGGGGTTCATACAGACACACTGACTGGACACTCCAGT